TCAATTACTTCTTATCAGTTTTTTCCATGTACTTCAAAGATTGTTGCAGAGTACTGAGGTTTTTCCCTTGCATACCGCAACATTTTTTAGTGATGACAAGTTTTTTCCTTGAGGATTGAAATATTATTTCATGATATCGAGTTTTTTTTGTATCGCAGATTGTTTTCGTAATGTCAAGATTTTTGAATGTCACTCGCGGTTTTTCCTTTGCATCTTCAATATGTTCTCCGAAGTTTCCTCTCTGCATCAGAGGTTTCTCACTAGTTTTCACTGTCCCCAAAGTGCTTTCACTATCATCATAATTTTAGTCGGTGTGCAGCGAAATTTCTTTCTGTTAAGAAGGTCTTCTTTCTACGTCGAAATATTTTCCGCGACAGCATAGAATTCTCTTCGTGACCACAAGATTATTTTCCGTGATTTTTCAGCATCATTAAAATTTTCTTCTTTCGTACATCCGTATTTTTTCTATGTTGACAAGTTTTTGAGTGTCCCCAACGTCTTTTTTCTTCATATACTGAAATTTGTTTTCCATAATGATAAATTTTTCGCAGGAGAGTTTTTTAGAATATCAACAAGTTCTTGTTCAAGATCATGAGATTATTTTCGGACGATCGAAAATGTCTCTGGAATATCAAAAAATTTTCTTTGACTGCATATTTTTCCTTTCTTAAACACACGATTTACATCTGTGATAACGAGTTGTGTTCTTTACACTCGAGGTATCTTTGTGACTATAATTTTTTAGTGCCATCGAAATTTTTGCTTGGCAACTCGAAATATTACTCATATTATCAGAATCTGCTTGACAACAAGAATTTTCTCTGCATACTCAAATAATTTTTTCCTTATCAAAGGTTTTTCGACTATGATATTTTTTCGTAGTGACTTAATTTTGTATTGTCCCCTGTAACATGATAAAAATCATGTACTGTTCCACGCCTGAACTGACCGCGGATCATGGGGGGAAAATTAGTATTTTTACCTCAGCGAGAGGTCGGATCAACCAGGGCCACAATTGTCATTTTATTTTTTTTATTTCTATTATTTACTTCCTTTTCATCATTCTCTCGAACTCTGTCGATCGCGCTCACCGTGGGTTACGTGAGTTTCGTTACGAGGGGAGTGGAGCGGAGCATCGGGAATGACTACAAGTCGGCACTACAGCAGATGACGAGTAGCACACCGACTAGCACGCACACACCGAGTCTGGGAGACTCACACTACGAAGGACGCGTCTCAGGCATCTCAGGCCTCTACGTGCGAACCCCCACCGCCTCACCGATGGATCGGGGGCGCAAGGCCGCCCAGTAAAAAACTCCTGCTGCAACATTGAGGGAGCATCGGATTATGTTGGCTTCTGCGCTGTTCACTGCGCATCACATCCACCGATAGCGTAGCGCAGGTCTCAGTTCTCTGGGACTCAGGAACTGGGAATTACGACAATTTTAAAATTCCCAATTCAAAATCATATAATAACGCGGATTCTCCGCGCTTCATCGCGTGATCGGGGTGGGGGTAGAAAAGATTTTGAGGTTCCTCGGGGCGATGTATGGCCCCGACGGACACTCTTCGCTGGGATCTGTTCAGCTAAAGACGCTCTGCGCAATTAAAGTTTTATTATGCTCTTTGAGCTTCTTTAAATTATTAAAACAATTATTACTTTGGTGTGCCTGGATTTTCCGGCCTTTTCCTGACGTCGTACTGAGGGTCCAGACGAGTTTACCCTGGAGTTTCTCACGTATCAAACGATGAGCGTGATTTAATTTGTGAGTGCTCGCGTAGTTTTTCGATTTATTTCTCCGGTAGCCATTTTGGATACCGTTTGAGTGTTAAGATTCGAGCCTTTTGCCTTCGGGACGCGGCACTCAGTGGCCTTTGGCTTCATTCCTTTATTTTCATTATTGAATATTAATTATTTCATTTATATTGTTGCCGTTTATCGGTTTTGATTTTGGAACTTTGTTCAATTTCTTCAGTCGTGTGGCTCTCGCGTCGTCGTCCCTTACGGGTGATCCTCGCGTCTTAGCGTCTCCCACGCATCTCAAAAATTATTATTAATTCGTTTAGTTAGTTAGTATCACTAAGTTAATTACATTTTTATTTTGGTTTGTATAGCGTCTTTGCTCACGGGAGTCCTCTCCCGCACATGTAAAAGATCAGACTTAACTCATGGATTAAAAATATATTTTTTTTTGTTTTGTAAAAGTTTGCATATTGTCGAGTTACGCTCATTGTAGCCTGTTCCCACACGCCTCCGCGGTTATCTGAGCTAGTCGTGGAACGCGGCTCAACGGTGTGACCTTGTCCTTTGGCGGTTAAAAGGACTGGCGCCCTTTATGGCATTTTGTCTCCTCTCATTATTCCCGTCGTTCTAATTCCGGGTTGAGAGAGTCCAAAGGGGTCGCTGGAAGTTCGTGGAGAACCACGCGTCTGAATCCCGCAGACGCGCTTGGAAAAATAACTCACACCCCATAGGTTGTGTCCTCACACATTAGAATTTTGTTCACTATAAAGACAAATGGTTTGTACAAACGTTTTTTTAAAAATAACGAAAGTTTTTCCTCATGACGATTGAACTTTACTTCGTGATGTTCAGATTTTTTCAGTAATACCAAAGTTTTTCTCTTCACATATAAAAAGAACTTCCTACCATTACAAGTTTTTTTCTTCATGCATTGAAACATTTTTCTGTGATGATAATTTTTTCTGGAGTTCTTCCTGTGTGCGTCTAAAAATTGTCTTCGTAATTTCAAGGTTTTTTCCATGTGTGACAAAAGTTTTTCTCCGTATTCCGAAATATGTTATTTGCAATATCTAAGAGTATTATTTATGAATAAAAAATATGTTTAGACTCGACAGAATTTTATACTTTACATCTTCGCGTTTTTTTTTTCAAAGTATCCAAGTTATTTTGTCTCCGTCAGAGAGTTTTGCATAATTTTTCATGTGCCATCAGAAATGTTTTCTTTGTAATATCAAGAATTGTTAATATCACTAACTTTTTCTTCTTTGCACAATGAAAAATTTTTTTCATCAAAGTTTATTTCTGTGATGATACGTTTTTTTCAAATATCACCAAAGTTTTTCTTTTCATATGAAAGTTACCAAATTAAAATTGAAATTTTTTACAAACATATTCGTTGTTCGCGATCACAGAATTTTTTTTAATGTAGTTACAAGTTTTTCTTCGCGAGCACCAAATTTTTATGTTGAAAGACAAAATTTGTTTTTGTACAATTAACAATTTTTCTACAACATTAGAAATTTTCTTTCGTAATGTCAAGTTTTTTTGCGTATCACCGTGATTGCGTATCGCAAGTATGCTTCTTTGTATATTGAAACATCTTCGGTCATGACAAGTTTTTTCTTTGCAATAAAAGTATTTTCTGTACTGTAATGTCCAAAATTTTGTACTAGGAATTTAAGACTAGAATAAATTTTGTGTAAGATTATAATTATAAGTTATATTATAATTTCAGGTAATCAAGAACCAAATCCACAATTGTAAATTAAATAGAGTGCATTTCATCACCCGGACTCAATTAAAAACTCCAAAGACACCAGAATCGAGTTCAAAAGTCATGAAATGACAAACTCAGCACGCCCCAATTACTTAATACTAAGATTCACACGCGAAAGACTAATTGAAATCCAATTAATTGCGACCCCAAAAACCGAATGAACTACTTCCCCATAAAAATCAAAGGAGTGGGAAAAGTCATACGACATTTTCCACCAATTAAAAATGGACTCGTTGGAGCCCATGTGACAAGCGACCCTAAAATTCATATAAAAATGTCAGAAAAACCAAAATTAAGCAGTCTTCAAGCAGTGACAGAGCAGTAACAATTCTGGTGGAAATAGTTCATTTAATCGGTCCGGTTTTTCAATCCTTCCTTCAATTACACGGGATAGTACTGAATTACTAGTAAGTTACGAAAAATTGAAATTATCTGGGAATAAAATTTCTTTAACCGAGGGTGGTGACTTTTCTTGCTAATAAGGAATTCGTTTATTGTGACGCGTTGTGGACAGTCTCAACTAAACTCTTAAAATCTTCTAATTCAACTGCCAAAAATTCATTAAAATATCAACCAGTAGAAGAAAGTGTTTCCGTGAGAGTATCCATAATAGCCTTTAGCGCGACTAATTGCTGGTGAGGAAATTACGGATTTACCCAGGGATCTACAAATACATCGAATAATTTATAAATAACAGACCGAATTGTGAGTAACAAAATTTGTAAACCCAACTTTGAATCCTTCAGATCATTCCAGGGATAAGAATTTTAGCTACATAGATTTCTGTGAAATCACGCTTATGTTTTTGTAAACCGCGTAGTTATACAAAATATACTTAAATTCAAATTTGATTCGCATTACAAATACAAATTTCTTGATTTGAAATTAGTCTCAACCCAAGGCCTATCCCTAAGTCAAACCCTTTTCCTTTATATTTTAGAAAAAGGTAAGAGTATAAAACTTTGCGTCGTCCAATAATTATAAAATCTAATAATTTTAGCTTTGATTTTAATGTGACAATTAAAACATGTCCTTTCGATGCTAAAATCTTTCTCCGGACATAACAGCTAAAATTTCATAGCGCAGTTGGTAGGACACGCCTAAGTTCCCAATACTCTTATCTTTTAAGTATTCTGAAATTTTTGAAACCCATTTTAGTCAATTTAATTCAATTCAATTCTAATCAATTAAAATTTTAGCTTTGAGAAACCCTTCTTAAATTTCAAATATTAGACGTTTCTTTGCAAAATTCAAATTCTCTTTGAAATAATTATAAGCGAAATTTTGTTTTCTTTTCCCAATTTTATTGGAAAAATCACATAGAATCTTAATCCAAATTAACTAAATCCCAAAATAAAATTATTTCAATTATCAACTAATTAAATTATCTTCACACAATGGCGAATCCGTCCTTCGTTAATATCAGTTACTCTGGAGACTCGGGTGAAGCTGATTAGACCGTTTCCAGTTACGAAGAATATGTCAAAGCTCGAGACATTGCCAACAGCATTCCCATATTCTCCGGTACAAATGAGCACTGCTCTCTGGACGAATTTGAGTACGCGTTGAGATCAAATCTTGCCTCCATTCCTAAAGCACACGGATAGAAAGAAGAATATATTAGACAAATACTCAAACGCCTTTTACCCCCAGCAAAATTCGTAGTGGCGAACAAACCCCTCTTTTCTGTAGAAACTATTCTTACTCACCTAATCAAGAGATTTAGAGGTCAATACGACTTAACGTGTTATGTGAATAGAATACGCGGGTTGTTGAAAATTAAAAAGGAACCCCTGGAATCGTTCTTGGAGCGATGGACAGCAGTGGTCCAGTTCGGTCTGGGTACGATTTCTGGGGAAAATGAAGCTGAAAAACAAATCCTCGAAAAACACCTCCAGACAGAGGCTATTAAACGATTTAATGAATACGCCCCTGCAAGTGTGAAAGAAAGTATTAGGCGCAACAACCTAAGTAAAATCTCAGAGATCCTGCCACAACTAGAAACAGACGAATTCCAGCATACAGTCAAAGTACCAGCGTTGGAGATTGCTGATAACGGGCACTACAGGTACATCACGGAGTACCCCTCGATTCCAATCCATTCAGGGAGCTCTCTACCGCCCAAACTGTACGGGGAACAAATGCCACCTCTGCCGAGATACCAATACTAATAAAATCGGTCGTACAGTCAGCCATATAATCAGTCAAATACCCCGACATCATCGTCAAGCTACGGTCACCGAAACTATTCCGAACAGAGGAGAAATCAGGACCCTTCACGAGATCTAGTCACCGCTCTCCTCAATGAATATCTGCCATCCAACCGGAACAAGCAAGGCAACGGGTACAGACAAACACCACCTCGACCACCGGAGCCACCTCCATCTATACCAGGACACACAGCTCATCCTGGTGACCCCCCTTTGCGCAGCTTCAACTCCGCCATCGCCTACGGTCAAACTCCAAACGACGAGGATGAATCTGACTACGAGAAACCAACGGAAAATGCGGACAACTCTACCACGGATCAGATTCTAGCCCACGCTAACATCTTGGCAGCCAACCAACGTCCTCATGCAATCCCATCTAAACCTAAACAGAACCCTTCTGATATGGATGAGATCAAAAGAATGCTGCAGCAGACTACAGCCTCACTCCAACAGCTTGCGATGAGTTTGAATAACCTGCAGACTCAGAATCGCCCATCGTCAGACTCTAGACCATTCTCTAGGTCTCTCTCAAGGGAACGAGAAGGGAGAAAAACCCTGCGGAGTCCTACGAGAACGCAGCAGAACAGAGCCAGCCCATCCACAAATGGAACCATCCCAAAGGAGACTTTAAACGACATTGTTGCTCGCCAATTGAGTGCGATGACGAGCGGCCAAAACCAGCACTCACTCCATACAATGTCGAGCATGCATCCCAGACAGTAAAACCCATACTGTGTAGAGTTACCGGGGGTCCTCAGATCATCTTTCGAGGACCAAATGTCATCTCCCCAGGTGTGAATGCACTGATCGACACCGGAGCCTCCATAAACCTGATATCGTTCCAATCATTGGTGGAAAATGCTCTCATCGATACCACAGGAACAATCGGAATCGTTGGGTTGTCCAATCACGTTCTGAACTCACTCGGAGTAGTTCGCCTCGCAGTGCATCCTGAAGTTCAAATAAAATTCCACGTGATTCCTCACCAGCCAGGCGGATATGGAGCCATCATCGGGGATGAAATGTTGAATGAGTTAAAAACTCACATTTCCTTCAACACAAATAACATTAGCTTCAACGGCGCTCCATTGAAACCTATACATTTCTGCCTCCCCAACTGACCAATGAGAGGAAAACCTTGCCGGATTGCATTTAGCGGGGGCGGCCCAAAGATAAACCTGAAGGTGAAGAACCTCATCGGACATCGACATCGATTTCTCATCGACACCGGAGCTGACATCAATCTTATTGAGAGGAGAGTCATCAAACCCGACGTAAGAATTGGACCTCCCAAGATACCCTATCTACTCGGAGTAACGGAGAATGCATTGCCAACATCCGGTTTAGTTCATCTAAAAATCTTTGGCTCTCTCGTACCATTCCATATCGTAGATCATAAACTACCTGTCGAAGGAAGCGGATTACTTGGGTTAGAATTCCTAATTCAAGAAAAGGTGGACATACGGTATCAGCAACGGAATATCACCACTCTCAAGAGGCCTAACCTGCCGGTGAATTGGTATAATTACGAGAAATTCCATGAGTCAACCGTCATCCCTCCAAGAGCAAGAATGGCCATTCAAATCCCTATCCAGAATACCGAATTATCGATCGGGTATTTACCAAAGATCTCCACAAACCCAGGCATCTATCTAGGCGAGAGTGTGGTGAGCATTAGCGAGGTGAAAGCCTGTCTCTTCGCCATCAACACCACCGAAGGACCAGTTCACCTCCACATACCACCCCAGAGGGTAGAGGAAATCGATGAACTCCTAGAAAGAACCGAAATATTAGGAAAACCTCAAGAAACCTTTGCCTGGTGCAATATGGGAATTGCCCCAGAGGAAAATATAGGTCTGTCACCTCGCACATTGCACGTAATAGAGGCTCACCCCTCTGGATTGTACCAAAGAAAGCCGACTCCAAGGGAAAGAAGCGATGGAGAATGGTGATCGATTTCCGACATCTAAATCAGAAAACGATCGGAGATTCCTATCCGTTACCCAACATATCGGAAATTCTTTCACAACTAGGCGGAGCTAAGTACTTCAGTGTGTTCGACCTAGCCAGTGGATTCCACCAAATTGCGATGGATGAAACAGTCGCTGAAAAAACTGCCTTTACCGGTCCCAGCGGATACTACGAGTAAAATGGCTAAGTTGCAAAACCAGTCCAAACCCCTGATCAACTCAACCGACGAAATCCCAGAACTGACGAGCTCCACCGACCAAAATCCCGAAAAAACGGAGAAAGAAGAAATACCTCAATCCAGACATTCTGTGATATCGCAGCCAAAGGTCACACGAGAATCCTTACTGCCGACACCCAAGGCTATACAGTCACCTATGGCAGGATCTTCTCCGGAAAAGAAAAATTCTTCAACAGACCTAACCCCAAAAGAACTGTTCCCACGCACCGAAGAAATCCATCCATCAACGCACTCCCGAGAAGCGGAAATTCCCCAAGCAAACGAAATTGCACAACCGCCATCAGCACAGCTACCGGGGGTGACTTTGAATCCACACCCCAAATTCCTCCCGCCTGACCTTCCCACGAGCGAAGAGCACGGTTTCATACAGAACCAAGGAGAAATATCTCAGAACAAACCAAATGAGGAAACTATGGACGAGAAGATCACAATACCGCAAAGTGACTATCAGCCTGCGAGCAACATCAAAGAAATCCGAGATGGACTAACATTTACCAGGGGAAACATTGCTCATTTCCTCGCAGCAGATGGAGAGATCAAAAAGCAAAACACCAAACTTTTAAGAGACCTCAATCTGATAAACCTGGAGGAAATACGTAAGCTCAATCCAAAACTAGGTCAAGTCATCGTCACGAAGTGCGGGAAATACCGAACCTTTACCCTCACTGCGAAGCAATGGTACTTCGAAAAACTAAACAACCGGATACTAAAACTCTGCCTGAGAAATCTCAAAACCGCCATGGAAAAATACCAAATCACTGAAATAAAAATGGCATCTCAGAGTGACGAAATAGACGACAATATCAGAATACGATACTTCCTGGAGAAAGAATTTCAATTCCATCCAGCTACTGTAACTCTATG